CTCTGGCCCCAAAGTCTAATGGATACAGAGTTAGCATAGGACATGATACAGGATTTGATTGATTTTGTGGGGAAAAAAAATCTTTGCATGACTCTAACATTTGAGTTGCCAATGACTCTCACTTCCTAAGTAGCCGTTTTGCAGCATGCTGCCCTGATTCTTTGGTCATCTTTGATTAGTCCAGGGGTGGGAAATAGAACCAATGTTGCCAACCAGGTTCTCTCTCCTGCTAATTTGTAGTCCACCCCCAACTAAAACTTCATTGGAGAGGGCCATTGGTTGTCAATCAATTACTAGTACACTTCCTAAGAACTTCCCTCCCCAAACCAGACTCACCATCTGTAAGTTGACTCTGACTTACGGCGGCCTGGTAGCGGGCAGAGTGGAACTGCCTGTGGGTTTCTTTGACTAACTATTTATAGGAGAAGGAGGCCTCTCTTTCTCCCTAGGCATGGTTGGTGGTTCTAAAGTGCAGAGCATGTGGTCAGCAATCCCCCACGCACCAGGGCTGCAAGAGGTTCCCTAGCGCCGAATGGTTTCAAGATTTGACTTGCTTAGGATGCCATTAGTGACCAAAATATCCATCTTTCAAAAAATCTTCTACTTTTTAAAGGCTGTATTGTGCAAATAATCATGAGGGAAGGTTTCCTCTTATGAACAGTTTACCTTATAAATTTTATATTTGTTTACTTCTGTGGACAGAACCCAACAATCAAGCTAAGGCACACATGCTTACTTTGACATCAGTAGATGGAATTTACAACCCTGTGAGATAAATTAGTCCTATCATTAAAATGTGTTAAAGCAACAACAGCAATAAAAACATTGTTAACCCCACTGTTTCACATTAGCTCCCAAACAGTAAGAACACCGAGTCTTAATATGAATAGAAGCACAAGTATTATGGCATCTAAGGTTGAGTTAATAAAAAATGCAAAGCATGAGTATTCTGCATGCGAGTACAGGATGAATTCTTCATCAGCAATAAAGAATACGTCTGAAATGTGCAAAACGTACTAAGGTGCGTCAGTTAGAATCGGGTTGCAGGAAACAGACAACACTAGCTTTGTAAAGCAGAAATACATTTAATATCCAGAATTACATTCCAGATCCAGAATTAATATCTAGACGCTGACTTTAGAGCAGTTGTAGGAAAGTGGCGTAGCATAGAAGCTGCTGCTTCCGCCAGAGTCAGGAAGATGGAAGATCAGTCCTCTATGATTCATTCCCCCGTGGACATAAAAAAAGACACCATAATAGTTATAACTCAAAAATGAGGATATTTTGTTGCTGCTACCCAAGCTGTCTCTTGAAACCCAAGATAATGATCAAATAGTAGAAGGTGATAGTAGAAAGTCCTTACTGCCGTGTTTAGCACCCACCAGCCCAGGAAAGACTGCTTCACTTCTGAGTTTTCTTATAGGTGCCCACTGATTGATACAACTTAATTCATATCCAGTTTTCTAATGTTGTGGTGTCTG